ATACAGAAGGATTCATTCATTTAGTCCGATCTTTGCTTTAGATAGTGATGTTAAGGTTGCACTGAGGCATTTACATTGTGGAAGATCTCACTGTTCACTCAAGTCCCAGCTTTACAATTCTGGAATCTGGCCAATTGTTTGAGTAAAGTTAAATCCAAAGTACTATGGAAAAACACCAAAGTTGCCCTGTTTGGAGAATTCTAATCATACACTCAAATCTGTGATGACAGACCAGTGATGATGTTGTATTTTCTCTGTTGTGCAAGCCCTTGTGTTGCCAGGCAACAGCAACGTCTGTGCTGTTGGTAGACTGCAACATAGCACTTACTGGAACTCTGCTAGATATTTGTCTAGGATTGGTCAGCAGGAAATCTGTAAATGCCAAGAACGATGACATCAAATTGTGTTCAATCATTCTAGCCACTAAAGACAAATAAGAAATAAACAGTCATTTACTTAGTGCCTTGCACAACCTTAGGACATCCCATAGCACTTTACAGTCAGTAAGGTAGTTTTGAAGTGTAGCTACAATTGTTATTTAGATTAGTGTATGCACAGCAACATCCCACAAACAGCAACATAATAACGGTCTGGTATTATATAGTGATGTTGGTTAAGAATAGATTTTGCCCAGCACTTTTGCTCTTGGAATTATGCTGTGGGTTCTTTCATGTCTGAGTGGGCAGATGGGGACCTCTGTTTAATATTTTGTCTCAAAGGCTCAGTGCAGCAGACCCTCGGTGCTCCAGTGATGTGTTTTTCCCGGACTCTGATCAAGTCTCGAGTGGAACTTTAACCTACAACTGTCTTGCTCCAAGATAGTGTAATCACTAATCCAAGGCTAGTCCTTTACTATATTCCAGTAATTTCAATGATAGAGAAGTAATATTTCACATGTCCATTGTGACTTTGTGGTCTCTTGCCCTTCCCAACATTGGAGTGAACACTTGAACAGTTCTGTCTGGGATAAATGATCAATAATTGCTGATCTGTCATTGATTGTAAGGTTCTAAGGTAATGAGTGTTAAAGCATAATATAATAGGATAACGAGTTAGCCTTTGTGCAGTCTTATTTTGCAATGGTGCATTAAAAATGCCTTGGGACAATCCCAGTCTCTGAAGTAAGTTGCACACTCTGAAGTAGAACAAAACTGAAGCAACAGCTGTGGAGGTGTTCCTGTTTGCCCATTGTAACTCCTGAGCAGTACTCCATGAGGATTTATTACTCCTTGGTTTTTACCTGGGATAACCTCAGGATGCATAAACCACTAGGGTTTAATACAGCCCTAAGAAATCCCCTTAAAGTTTGAATTGCTGCTTGCCCTGAAAACAGGGGAAAATTCATTTAGCTGAGGTCCGTCAGTACTGTTTTGGTTAGGGAGGTACATATTTTGTTACTCATTGGTAGAGATTACTTTGAGCTTAGTGTGTGCAATCCATATGATACATCTATGGGTCATCGTCTCTTGATATTATCACTCAATGAACCATTTTACACAGTCCATTAAAAATCCAAGATTGGCTTTCAAAGGAATATCATGTGTTTCCTGCTAAATGTCACAACTTTTTATCATACTCCTCTAAACACCCCCATAGCCCTTACCTTTGTTGTCTTTCTCTCCCTTTTTTCTCTATTATCACACAGCAGGTTTATGTACAATTTTATTTCAGGAAAGGTTTGCTCACATACACATGGCATGAATCATTGTGAAATCTTGGAAGTAATAGATCAGATGAGTCTTCCATGGAGAGTCACATCCACCCACATGCAGGCTTTAAAGGTTGCAGAATCATTCTAGTAAAGGGGAGTGCAAGTCATGCTGGTTACATTATTGAGAGTGTACTGTACTGAGTCATGTGTGGGAAGTTTTTGGGTCTCCACTGACACCAATGAGTAAGCTGTGTTTCTGAGTATTTGTTGTGTTGTCTCAGATTACTCAGTGCATATCCAGAGTCCTGCAAAGTCCATAGTTTAGTCCTGTGATAAAAATCTCTGCACTTTTAAACCTTCATCATTAAAGAGTCAAACCCTGGAACTCCCTGCCTTACAGCTCTGCCGCTACCACCTTCACCTGTATAGCAGTTCAAGAAGGAGCTCAACACCACTTTGTCGAGCAATTAGAGATGGTTGATAAATGTAGTCTTGATAGGTTGATAAATATCTCAAAAACAAATAGTTTAAACGTTTTGCAGCCATATATGACACAAGTGCTAACTAAGGGATAAATGTTGGCCATAACACCCATGCTCATCTTTTAAAAACTGTAAAGCCTTGGGGTATTTCATGTCCCCTTTAGAGGACAGACATTTCATCCAAAACTAAAATCATCTTGAACAATGCAGCATCCCCCTTATTACATCACTGAAATTTTGACCAAGATTATGTGCACAATTTCCCAGAGTGAGATTTGAACTCATAACCACCTGGTTCAAAAACATACCATTTGTATTGAGGCATTTGTATAGAAGACTTCAAGCAATTTCACTAGATCCCAGCATTTCTGCTTTCTTGCTGATCGGAACTGAATTCAATAAATTCATTCACTTACAGGTTTCTGTAGGAAGCAAAATGACCAAAATCCTTGTAATCAAACAGGTTGGCAAGTATCTCTTTAGGAGATAACAATGTCAGTACTGTACCCAGTCGGGCCTGCCTGTTACACTAATCCATGTCACATGATTAACTGCAAAAACTGTTGTGGTATCTAGAGATGGAAGTTAAATGCAGTCTTCCTCAATCATCTACATTCCCAGATCAAATAATAATAAAAAAAGGTTCAGGTCGACCTTCCGTAATTCTGAAACAGCAAGTGAAATATCTGAACCTTATTTTATCTAAAGTCCTCAATACAGCAGGGTCACTAATCCTTTCAGTACATAATGCTTCCTTCACAGTTCTAGTTCCCCTTTATAATGTACTGACTCTCCCCCAACAGCATTCACTATTTATAAATCTACACAGTTTGATTGACTGTTGGCTGTTCAAATGCAGGGTGCAGAGACACCATGTACTGATCTCTCAGAGCACCTATGAACTGACTGGAGTAAGAACCTAAGTTGATTTTTCTCTACACCCCGGTCTAGAAATTGAGACCAATTGTTCCGTCAACTAGTTGTTGCTACTTTTCCCCACGATGGGATCACATGACTCAACACAAATAGCATTTTACCCTGGAATCTTCAGATCTAATTGAATTGGGTCAGTCTTTACCCCACCAGGCAGATAGCAGGGAAGTATCAATTGTGATACAGTCGGGTGACCACTTTGTTTCAATTCCCAAACCATCAGCTTGTTGGATTTTCTTTTAATTGGCTCATTTGCATTCCCAGTCATTAGAGACTCGGGATTGTAACAAATGTATGTACTGACAAAGTATGAAATGGAATTTCAATTGGGCTGAGGGATGTGAGTTAAGATTTGGTTTTTAGTGACATGTATGATTGTAAGGTGTTAGCTGCAGTTGAGTGTTGAAATGCTTACTTCTGCTCAGTACGTAGAAACTAGACTGATGTTCTTTACTGCAATACTAAGGGAGTTCTCCACCTCTAGATATGATGTCTTTGGATGCTGTTAAATCGAGGCTCAATCTACCACATGGATAGACACAAAATATCAATGCAATATTCAGGGGATTGTCTTGTCCGATTTATCCTTCAAATAAAATCACAAACTACCAGATTATCTGTATTAATCCCATTGCTCTCTGTTAGTCCCTATGTTTCCAAATTGGTGGTTGCATTCCCCTGATTTGGAACAATGATATAAATTCAAAAGTGCTTTCTTTACATTAAAGCAATTTGGGATGTCCTGGGGTCATGAAAGACAGTGTGAAAATGCAAACATGTTTGTTCTTTTATCCATCAACATACTCCCTGATGACAGAAGTGAAAACTACAGTTCTAATCCATTAGTTGATCTTGTCTGTTTTTTTTCATTTTTGACAGTGGAGCAGCTAAATCCAATCTTCTCACTAAACGAAAACCATGCACTATTTGTGCTTCACTGCTGCGCTGCACTGAACTGAGGTCTGCTGCTGGGCCACTGTGTGGTGCAATACCAATGTATCTCCCAAATGCTACAATTTCACACTGATCCCTAGGGAAACATCAGCGGATTTTTATAAAAGATGATCACTTTTTATTCCATTTGAGATTGGGGAATGTTTGATTAATTTTGCCACCTGACCAGAAAATTTCAATTGGGAATTTTCTTTCGTGAAAATGAATCCAGGTTCTTGGCAGAAAAAATGGAATTCAAAAATGTTATGACCTGGATCTTGAACCCATTTAACCTTCAAGTCAAATTCACAGGCTGTGAAACTTGCTGCTTTCAATTCACATAGGACTAACTGTATCATTGATTACTCCACTTGCCTTGTGTTCTTTTCCAACTCGAGATATGAGTAATGTAGGTAAAGTTGTAAATACTTCTTGTTGTAGTGATGTGATATGATATAAATACGTGGCTAATTAAGATGGTTAAGATAGTCACCTGTATCAGTACTAGCTTTTCATATCCAGCTATGTTATAAAATTGAAGTTTTCAAACTGCTATGTTGAATCTGAGCTGATTATTCTTCAGGTTAGTACAAACCATTGAATATTAATCCAGTAATGTACCATTATGCTATCATTCCCACTATTGAAGAAACTCACTGAACAGAGAACTCATACTGAGGTTTTGTCTCTGGTGATTAGTTTTAATTTCATCTTCTCTCGCTCCTTTCTTTCGATATATTTTTGACCTATATCAATGTGGTTTTAACTGATCGTTTTCTGCCATTGTTTTTAAGTCTCTGCATGTACGACTTTGTATAAAAAGGCATTTGTCAAAGATCTGCTCTTCAAGATAGAACTAAATATTTAATTCTGAACATGTCATTGAAAGACTTCAGTGACTGGAATAATTCTAGCTTGGTGAGGGTCATTCTTAAATGTAAATCTAAATTATACAACATGCGGTAGAAACACTTCTTTTTCTTTGTGCTTTTGTTTTAAAGCAGACCTGTGACCAAACTACATTTTGCCATGAGTGGAATTCTGAAAAGGAAGTTTGAAGAAGTGGAGGATGATCCCTGTTACTCCTCATCTTCACCATCATCCTCTTCCTCCTCCTCCTCTTCATCATCCTCCCCTGCTACTTCATCTTGCTCATTATCCACCAGCTGGGACACGGATGATGACAGCTCCTGTGATGAAACATGGCCAACCAAAAATAAAACAGCTTTCCCCTCAACACCATTTACCCGTAAGTAACTAACATTGTTCACCTTTTTTACAGTTAGGGGGCTTGATTATGATTGCAAGGTATTGGTGACTGTATGACCTCAGGGTAACATTTTTGGGCAGAACTTAATGACTCCCCCAGGAGTATTCTGGAGGTGCTTAGCCATATGAGAAGTCAGATTGGCAAGACCTGGATCCCTCCCTCACTAGGTTCCTGGGAGTGGCCATAGCGCAGTTGCTGGTAGTTGCTACCACTGCTACCTTAAAACTGCTAAAATTCATTTCCTAATTAATAATTTTCCTCCTTCAGTTGAGCTGGGAATAAGCAATTGTTGCTAGTTATTGTTGTTCAACTGTTCTCCTATCTCTATTGGCATTGATACATATAGCATTATGGATTAAAAATGAAAGCATGGAAGCAGACAATTTGCCTTGTCGTAAATTGCTAAATCTAAATAGTAAAAACCACAATCTGGCTATTCATCCCAAAAGTTTCATGGTGATTTTATGTTTTTCATAAGTGTCCTCCCCACTTTCTTCTAACTGTATTAACATACCCTTATTTTCCTTATTCTCTCATGTTTATTTAGCATTCTCTTTAATGAATTTGAGATTCGCCTCAGATATGTCTTGTGGTGATGAGCCACACACATTTTATCCACTTCCTTTGTAAAGAAGGTTCTCTTAAATGCTATACTCAAGTTTACAGGTGACTTGTATTCATGACTCCCTAGTTTTCATCTCCAATACAAATCTATTTTGTGGCAAAGTTTCACTGCCCAATGAGTCAACCAGCAAATACAATTTCGTTATTGATTCTCAATTACACAATACTTAGAGGGGAAAGAGCACACACTCAATATGCAGGCATGGAATCTTCAAACAAATAAGAGAACTGGGGGCTTCTGTAATAGTTTGCACTGAAATTGGAAACTTGTTTGTTTCTTAAAATTGTGAGGAAGTTCCAGGTCAAAGCAAACAACTGAGACAGCATCTTGGAATTCTCTCAACAACTCTATCTTCTCCTTCTCCTTCTTCCCAACGTTTCCTTTCTAAGACCCTATTGAAAGCTCTCTCTTTGGCCAAGCCTTTACCATATTTGGCTTGGATTACACTTGAGGTAGTCCCTTTGGGTGTCAGCAGAGCTGTTGCCCGGCTTCTGTAAGAAGGGGTTTATGTTAAGTTTGCAAGAACGAGCATATTCTAAAGCCTAGGTCCTAGAAAGACAAGAACACTTTCCAAAGTACGGGTAGTTCTGCTATAACGCGAATTGGTTGTAATGCAATTGATAAATAGTGAATGCTGTTTTGATAACGTTAACTTTGTGCTGTACGGGTGTAGCGATTTCCCTATAATGTGATCTTCTATAGCGCTATTTTCTATAGCACGAGGTCATACAAGAATGCAACTATTGTGTTACAGGAGAACTACCTGTATCAGGTACCATGATGTACTGGTCTCTGAGGGTGATGTATAAAGCATTTGCTTATTGCAAATCTGAAATTCTGCTCATATAATCTGTTAAATTAGCACCTGTTCTGTGAATTGGGCAGACTACTACCACACAGGGAGACCTGCCAAACCAACTAAGGTCAAAAATCACACGACGCCAGGTTATAGTCCGTTAGGTTTATTTGAAGACACAAGCTTTCAGAGTCCCGCTCCTTCTTCAGGCGTGTCGTGTGATTTTTGACCTTGTCCACCCCAGTCCAACCCTGGCACCTCCACATTATTGCAACTCAACGAAGGTGAGAAACTGACTAGCATCTTGCCAGTGGGTAGGGACAACACACAGGTTGACAATGGGTTAACAGAGACTAGGAGAATTTGCATCCTGTTAGCAAATCAGGGGGATTAAGAGTGACAATGCTGAACCATGTCTAATTTAGAGTAGAATTGTTCTTTGTTGCTTTTAAGATTTGAAGTATTTCGACCTGCATGTAGTAGTAAAGCCACTTAGTGAAGAGACAGTTGTAGTGCATGTGGTATTTATTGTAGCAGGAGGTTGTCTACCTCCTCTGGTGCTGTACTCCAGTGTAAACTAGGTGGGTTTGGAGGGATAGAATCAATGTTCCTAAATCAGCCAGGTACTATATTGTGTTCCTGCACAAAAGAAAACATGTGCTGAAAGCATTTGTAATAACAGGGCTACATTCTAATAATCTGCTTAAAATAGGTCTGAGATTAGTCTTCAGTGGACAGCATGGCAACTGGGTTTCTTGAAACAAGCAAGCTGCCAGGAAACCTAGTTACTGTTTGGGATTTTCTCAGTATTGAGTCCTGTGCTGAGGCTCCATGGTGAGAGGAGCTGCTTCCTTTCTTTACCCATTTGTTTTCTGAGAAGTAAAAGGTCGAAACCGCAAGTTTTTCCCTTTTTTTTAAACACGTTCTTGGTTTTAAATAGAAAATTCACATTTTGGTTATTTTTAAACGCAGCTGAATTTGTTATCATTACTCCATCTTCCACAGTATCATGCAATGGGCAGTTTATGAAAATGTACACTTTCATGCAACCCCACACAGCTCCACAATGATCCTCTATGTTGAGAAACAGAGGGCCATACTCTCCAAACTGTGTCAAGTTCAAGCCTAGTGGCCCATGGCATTAAGGCTACTGAAAAGATTTGCACTTCCTTGGGGGAGTGGAAATTATTATGCCATCTTTGCGCCAAGGCTGTCCTCTGTCAGAATGTCATGTGTTTGCGAAGCCCACTGCGGAGCCTTGAACACATAATTCAAGCTGACACTTCATTGTAGCACTCTGGAGTGCTGCATTGTTGGGGTTACTGTCTACACATGAGGAATTAACACAGGCTACATCTGGCCATTTGAATTGGTTTAAAAGATCATTCAGCACAACTGAAAAGAACAGAGGATTGTCTACAGATTTCTGCCTAACAATTCTCTCTTGACAAACAAGCAAAATGAAGACCTTGTCGTTTGTCTTATCACTGTTTGCTATTCGTAGCATCACTGCAGTGTGCCCTTGGGTTGCACAAGGGACTGTCACTAGGTTTTAAAAGTAATGTCATTTCTAATGAAATCTATTAGTAGCTAAATGCTTATTAATATCATTTTCTCTTTCCTTCTTGGTTTTGCAGCTGTCCCCATCCTGAAGAGAACTAAACGCATGAGAAAGAACAACGTCCAATTTGACCGTGTTGTCGTGTTCTATTTTGCGCGGTGTCAGGGGTTCACTAGTGTTCCAAGTCAGGGAGGCTGCACACTAGGGATGGCCAACAAGCACAGTTCATGCAGGCAGTACACGCTCGCAGAGTTTGCCAAAGAGCAAGAGCTCATTCGCTGGAAAAAAATCAAAGAACTTTTGAAAGAACAGAAGCTGGATTCGTTAAGACTGCAGGTATGAAACCTGGGAATGATAACCTATTAATTTGTTACTAGATGAGTATTCTAGAAATGATTCCAAATTCCTGGATGAGAACATCCTCCTTCTGAGGACACATTGGGTAGAATGAGCATATGGCTGCTTGGACTTAGATTAGAGGTGATCTAATTAATCCATAGATTCTGATGGAGTTCAACAGAGTAGAATCTACTTCCCTGGTAGAACTAATAGCCACAATCTCAGAACAAGGGATCAGCAATTTTTGGATGGAGGTGAGGAAAATTTTCTTTGGTTGCGAATCTTTGAAATTCTCCTCAATCCCAATGAACTTTGAATGCTTGGTCATTGAGTATATTCCTGGCTCAGATTGATTAGTTTTTGGAATTGAGGGATATGGGATCCAGCAGGAAGATGAAGTTGAGGTCAAAGATCAGCTATGACCTTTACTGAATGATGAAACTGGACTGGTTCTTGGGTTCATTTGGTCTTCCCCTGTTCTATTTGTTACATCTTGTTCTTATCGTACAAGTTCATATATTCCCGTAGTAGTTTGACACTTGAATTTCAGTTGAATAAAATCCAGAAATAATTATTCAATGTCAGTTTAAATGACCAAAAACCTATGAATTGTAAAAGACCAATAGGGCCATTAGAGAATGGAAACTTAAGCATCTTTACATGGCCCATATATGACTTTAGTCCTATGATGACCTGAAGAGGCCTACTAAGGATAGTTAATAACAGTCAGTGTTGCCCACATCCTGAGATTATTAAAAATTAATTAAAGTATAATGTAAGGTGGGAAGTACATTTATGCTGCTTTTCCTTTTCCATTTCCATCCCTACTATCAACTTTTTCTTCCATTTAATTCTATATTCAGTTTAATGGCACTCTAATTCCCTCCCTCTTTGCATGTTAACTTTGAATGTAAGTGCTGTGGACCTGTTTGACCGTGAGGGGTATTACAGACACGGCAACAGTATTCTTTACCCAACATTTGTGTGTATACGCTTTTCAAAAATTGCTGGTTTGTGATTAGGAGCAGCAAGTCTGCTCGCATTTCTTCAATCAAAAGCTGAGTAGGCAGTTGTAACCAGAGTGTTACTTACAGTGACAAATGGCAATGTTCAGTCTGCTCAGATATTGGCATCTCCACCTCCAACTGGAATGTATTCTGCTAAACTGTGTTTTGGACTGTTACCCACAAAGTGTAGAAATTCATTAGACATCTTCTGACCTACAAGAAACTTTTCAGTCCATTCTGCCTGCTATCTCTAATTAATCCTACCAACCCACTCTCTCCTTCAAATATTTATCCATTGCCTTTTTGAAAATTCCAATTGCATCTGCGTTCACCATTCTTTTTAGCCAGCACATTCCACATCTCATTTTCCTTCACCCTACAAATATTGCCAAGTATAACATAAGATTCCGATCATCTTTTAATTCTGGCTAGATCACTTGCCCTAATCCTCCTCTTGCTGGTGCTGTTCCAGTTGAAAACAGCCAACGCAACATAGATGAGGACTGATGCAAATCAAATGTGGCTAACTATTGCATTTCCTAGATGCAGCAAAGGACAATATAAGGTTAAAGGTTTGGGAGTGGGATTGCTTTGGTATTCATCTAGCATGATGTGCTCTTCTCTTGAGCTGTAAACCTGTACTGAGGTATTAAGCACTGATGAAAGCACATTGTCACTGGTCTTTAACTTGGATAAAATTAACACCTCTCTTATCCTCTATTCCAACTAGTTGACAAAGAATGGTACTGCTGACTCAGAACAAGCTGACCAGCTCACTGTGGATGACATCTTGGATGAAGATATTGATGTGAGTGAAGTGGAGCTTGACAGCAGCTTCTTTCCCCAGCCGTACCCAGCTAAGAAGAGGCACATGCTACTGAAAGCGGCTGGAGTGAAGAAAATCGACCGAGAGGAAAAGCGGGAGTTGAATGCAATCAGGATGTCACGTGAGGACTGTGGTTGTGATTGTAAGGGATTCTGTGAACCAGAGACTTGTAGCTGTAGCCTAGCTGGAATTAAATGCCAAGTAAGTAAGCAGCTGATTAAATACATAGTTTTATAGACATATATGTGCACTTACTGGTGTGGTAAGTGACATTTTACTTTCCAAGATTCAAATTCAATTCCCATGCTTCCTTCTAATTTTAAGTAAAATCTGCAAAGCATTGACTTTGATTGCGATGTTAATACAATCTCTTAATGTACCCTTTCGTTATGTGTGTCTCCAAAAATTAGTTCAAGTGTGAACAATCACCCTAACTTAACTTGGCCATTTTGCAGTCAGAGCAATCTCTATTGGGTTAGTCCAACAATATTTCACCTTCAATAAAGAAACCTGTATTGTTTTCTCACCCTTTTCCCATCAGACAGCATGCTGAGTCGGCAGATTTGGGAGCATATCCAAGGCTTGTAGCCATATCACAACTAGGCCTGAGCATGCCTTCCTGCTGCTATTTTAATCCTATGGTACTTACCGGGAATCACTTGCCTGTAAAAACAAGCACTGATTTTATAGTAGTTATTCAAATTTAAATTAAAAGATTAAAAAAAACCTGAATGCCTAGGTATGCAACATTTCAGCTTCTAAACATTAAAATGTAGGTTAAGTAATTAAGTTGCCTGAGGCAATGAAACCTTCAATGCAATTCATGATTCTGGATTTGTCTCCACGCGTGGCCTGTCTTGTCAACAGCTAACTTTCTTTTTGAGCTGTGCGCTAATCCCTGTGTTCCAGGTGCAAAATGTTTAATTGGGTGGAGACAGGAGTGTAAAAGATCTGACAGCCCTGGTATTTAATGATCACTCTGTGCAGTTTTAATGTAGCTGCTCCTTATTTTGATGTGCCTTTTTTAAAAAAAAAAATGCCCTTTTGTTATTAATGGATCCTGCGGTTTTTCAGAGTCTGTTTTCATTTATTGCCCCTTTGTGGCAAATACCTTTGTAGGATGGCATCATGATTTGTAAATAACTATTAATTGACAATGTGTAAAAGATCAAGTTTATATAATGTCTCAAGTCTCCCTCAATGCTGTCTGAATTTTTACACAATAATTTGATAATTGACTGGTTCTGTAGGCAAGTTTTTTTGTGTACTGAAGACTCTCAAACTGATATGAGGTAGAGGTGGAAATGGAACGTGATTTAAGTGAATTATTGAAAATACTTAAGAGCTTGAATAGCTTGTACTGTTCCTATGAGATGCATGACTTGTTGATCTGTCTTTTGGGAATATCTGGATTTTATTCTTCAGTGAAGATAGTTACGTATTTCCCTTCATGTTGCACTGTAGGATCATTTAATGGTGAACTGTATAGGTAGGATCTTGGTTTGAAGTCTTCTGCAAAGGAGGAGGAGCTTGTTGTTAATTGTGGTAAGGATCCATCTGGGTCACTGATGTCATTTAAGGAATGTCTGGCCTATGTATGACTTCACACACACAGACTTTAATTGCCGTCTGAAATGGTGTAGGGATAGACAACTATTGGTAGCTTTACTAGCAACGTCCGCTTCCCATGAAACAAAAAGAGAAACTTGAAGTTTGAATCCCGGACTTGCATGAGGACCCCACCCCCACCCCCACCCAATACTGTTGCCTCTTCCAATTCCTTCTCTGGGGTCTGCAGTTTGGCATTCCTATAGACTCCATACACAATCAATTCCTGATCTAATGCCCCATGCCTTCGGCTAATATCTCTCTGAGGCAGGTCTTGCTGAGAGGCAGAAATGCCCCATCCAACCTAATGTGGGCAGCCGATTTCCATTTAGTAGGTTTCTCTCCCTAACCCTGACATTTAAACAGAGGGAAAGGGAATCCACCATATTCTATACCTCAAAGTATAAAGAACAATACAGCGCAAGAACAGGCCTTCGGCCCTCCAAGCCTACGCCGCCGCATTTTGCCCTGTGATACTAAAACAGTCTTCACTTACAGGATCCGTATCGCTCTATTCCCTTCCTATTCATGTATTCATCCAGGTGCTTCTTGAATGCTGCAATTGTGTCTGCTTCCTCTGGCAGCACGTTCCAGGCACTCACCACCCTTTGTGTGGAAAAACTTGCCTTGCACATCTTTCAAACTCAACCCCCACGTCCCCGCACACCTTGAACCTGTGTCCCCGAGTAATTGACCCCTCCACCCTGGGGGAAAAAGCCTCATACTTACCATTCCATCCATGCCATTCACAATCTTTTTAAACTTCTTTCAGGTTGCCCCTCAACCTCCTGCGTTCCAGTTCAAACAAACCAAGTCTGTCCAACCTTTCTTCATAGCTAAAACCCCTCATACCAGGCAACATCCTGGTAAACCTTTGCTGTACCCTCTCCAAAGCATCCACGTCCTTCTGGTTGCATGGTGACCAGAGCTGTATGCAATATTTCAAGTATGGCCTAACTAAAGTTCTATAAAGCTGAAGCATAACCTGCCTATCCTTATACTCAATGCCCCTTCCCATGAAGGCAATCATGCCATAGGCATTTTCTATGACCCTATCCACCTTCATTGATCTGTGGACCTGCATATCCAGATCCCTCTGCATTCCAATACTCCTTAGGGTTCTGCCATTCACTGTATAATTTCCACCTGTACTTGACCTTCCAAATTGCATCACCTCACATTTTCCCAGATTAAACTCCATTTGCCATTTTTCTGCCCAATCCTCCAACTGATCTATATCCTGCCATATCCTCTGACAATCCTCCTCACTATCCACAACTCCACCAATCTTTGTATTATCCACCAACTTAATAATTAGACCATTTACATTTTCCTCCAACTCGGACTACTTTTGGGGGGGCAAATGGAAACAGAAATGACTCTTTAAAAGGGCATCCATGAAAAAAGCAGTTCTCCTTCTTTGCTGACGACCTGGGAAAATGAGATAGCAACAAAACCTACTTAAATGTAATTAAGTTACATTAGTGGTAGAGTTCTGTAATTTAGTCTAGAGGACAATAAATACAAAGTAATTGGATGGAGTTTAGACATATTATTGTAAACAAATTGCTTTATAGTATGAGATAAAGGGCTGAATGGCCTACTTCTACTTCTATACTGACAGATGTTCCTAAATACTTACGTTATGCATTTTTGTATTGTACAGATGGACCGGATGTCTTTCCCCTGTGGTTGTACAAAGGATGGTTGTGGTAACACAATGGGGAGGATAGAGTTCAACTCTGCCAGAGTGCAGACGCATTTCATCCACACCATCATGAAGCTGGACTTGGAGCAAAGACAATCAAATGGTGAAAATAAGAATGGAGAGTCAGACATGGCACACTTGGAAAATCCCCAGCACTATGGATACTCAGCAGACAAGGCCACGTTCCAGGACAGAAGTGCTTCCTTAATGCCAGCCTTTCCTTTCAGTGAAGAGTCAGATGACAGTGAGGATAACAGCTGTAGCAGTGACATGACTGACTCCAGTTTGTCAAATTACAGCGAGGAGGTGGATGAGGGAAGCAATGACCACTTCTTGGATAATGCACCGCAGTCTCATCAAACAGCAGACATTGATGACGACGGACTGACCCGAATACTCCATTTTAATGATTCTGATAACGAGTGTGGTAATGACGCTGACAACCAGGATGGCTTCCCTTACTTTAACCCATCTGATTTTTTTTGTGAGACTGGTGACCAGCACTCTGGTGTGGAAAGCTTTAAATTCAACACTGAGTACTATACTAATCACTTGCCCACCTTGGACGAGAATGCCAATCAGGAGGGAAGTTTTCCCCTGGGTGATGTAGCTCCGACACAGAGCAGTAACCATGTCTACCCACCTGCTCACTGCGTGGAGCAGGCTCCGAAAAGTTACACTGACCTCAGCCTTTCGACTGACTGCTTTGAATTTTTCCAGTCGTTCTCAGAGTTCAACTATGGATCATTTCACAATCCACAGAAGGACCATGAAAGCATGGACAATTGTCCAACGCTACAGTTTCAGTTCCCTGGCTTTCCCAGTTTCTCCCAGGCTGCTGACCCAGGTAGCTGTTTCCTAGAGTCTCTGATTGGTCTGGCTGAGCCAATCACAGCTGATTCATTCCCAGAGCCCCCTACACCTTTCCCAGACAGTCAGCATCTTGAAGAAGCCATCAAAACATCCATTATGGAAACTGTGAAGGTTTAACTTCAGATTATTGAAGTGACTAGTTTCAAATTTCTTTGTTTCTTTTCGAAGATAATTGACAGATATCTTTGTGAAATGACTGATGTATTTGGGGGGAAGGGGATGCAGAACTAATTGAAATCATAAGTCAAGGAATCATTCTGCAGTAATTAGCCTTCAGTTGTATTAATCGAGGATCCAGTGAGGCTACAAATGTCAAAATGATTCTTCAACTTGAAGAAGTGGGAGTGATACTCCCAAGTATCAATTGGTAATGTTTTGTATGAAAGAGCTATATATTGTTTAAATCCAAAAGATAATTGGATCTTGAGTGTGTTGTAATAGTGATGCATCAATGCCGAATCTCGGTGGTAATTTAGTGAAGAGCAACGCAGAGATGACGACTTACTAATTACACTTAAAGTGGAAATGAAACAAGTCTAAATCTGTTTGGCTTATCAATGGACATCTGGCAGCTGAAATCATTTGTACAATAATGTCTTTGTGACCAATCTATTCAAAGAATCATGCTGTTTCCTTCAGCCCTGATTACTATCTTGTACTATGTGATTTTTCTTTTGCACCCCAGCTTGAATTGTAAAAGCAACTACCCATGCTAGGCTACAATTCCATGTTGCTGTTTGACCTTTGTAACCTCATTCCAATTCTGTATTAGATGAACCTGTGCAGTGGATGACTGCCAGTTGGTTAAGCAGCCAAGCCTAATGCCACATTCTTACTCCATTGCAGCTACACACCCTTGGGGTTTCAAGATCACAGTTGAGTGGGTGCTGTATCACATACAGATTGAAGCTTACGGGAGTGCCACTGTCATTACCTTCAGCCTGATCCAATTAGCTGAATGTAAATCAGCCAAACAACCTGGAATGCTCCTGGTGTTGATGTTTCAATATTGTTAAAGTACATTGTTCTAACGCCCCATAAGGTAATCCCCATAATCTTATATCGTGGTATGTTTGAAGTAAGCCTTATGGTTTAGTTATAGTCATTTATAGCAGATGAGTTATTTTTCAAACTGTGAAACTTGCCCCTTTTATCTCAACGGGAGCAATAGTTGAGATTATCCAGTAAAATTGACTAATGAGATTAAATCGAGCTGTAGTTCTGGGACAATGTAGCATGTTTAATGTATTCAAATATTCCAAGATCCTTCACAGTAGGATTATCATTTAAAATTTGACAGCCACATAAGGACATAATCTATATTGATCAGGTTGATCTATATCTGTGTGAAAGAAGGAAGTCTTGATTCTAAAGGATGTTGCTGTAAGAATAGGAGAGAGCATGTTACAAAGGTTTAAGGAGAACATTCTAGAGATCGGAACCTAGATAGCTGAAGGCATAACTGAAAATAATTGGATAAAGGAAATTTGGATGTTCAAAACTAGACTTGGAGGTGTTTACAGTTCTCAGAGGGTCATAAGACTATACAGTTACACAGGGAAACATGAGACACATGAATGCCAGAATATGATTTTTTTTGTAGTCAAGGTTTTGAACTCCCTTTGCTAAGCTTACAATTATGTGGCAGTTGTTTACAGTTTGGTCGGGATTCTGGAATCAAAGATTGTAATTTGACTCCAAGCTTCAATTTTGGGACATCGGTCAAAAATATACATGACCGCACATAATGCATGGAATATATCCATATATGCTAGTGACATGCATTGCCCAGGGCATTAATGCTGTGTTAAGCTTTACTGTATTAGTTGACTTCCCAAGTAGGAACATATTTGATCTCCTTTCTCCTTCTAGAAGTGCTTTTGAGTGCTCAACCTGGTGTTGCATTCACTGGGTGTGTAATAATTGTACACATCACTGGTATGAACAGCGAGAGGATTCTGTGCACACTTCTGCACACCAAAATGGGCTCAAATCTTTGCATTCCTCAGAGAAGGGACAGCAGTACAATTGTTATGTATTTATTGCATGTAGATTGTACATTTGAAATTTGTGGACAATAATGGGCAAGTAGAAACAGATCTGTCAGTACCTTCATTTTAAATATAACTTTTCGCGGGTTCCAATGAAAATTTCTTCACTTGATGACCTGGACCTTTCAGTCTCTCACCCAAATGCTTTTCATTTCCAGCACTTTTTTCCTTAGATTTAGAATTCTTTTTAAATTACACACCTTACAAGATAAAGATTCTTTGAATGGTAAAGGGTTAATGCACAAATTGACTAAAATCACTATGCAAAGTCTTAACCACAGCCGAGCCTAGCAAATTGAACAGTAATTTGTAAGTGCAAAGTACATTGATAAAGCCAACTTGAGACAAGGTCTTAAATAGCAGGAAGTTAATAAGTAACTTTTGTAATACTGTACCTTAAGTATTACATGTGCAGTTTTTATTTATTTTGTACTGTATTTATTTATTTTTGTACATGCAGTACTGCAAGGAGCACTGTGGTTTAATAATGAAACAATGGAAGTGCAATACAGCCTTTCAGTAGCACTGGTCTTTCTCATCATTACACTGTTATGGTAACTGTGTTTGCTCGAGCAGCGTTGTCACTATCAGCTTGGTACCGATATGCTGGAGAAAAATCAAAAATTGCTTATAACTGGCTACACATTGCAGTTTTGGTCACACACTTTTTAATTCCACACCTTTTTGCTTTAATTTGTTACTTTACCATGCATCTGTTTTCACTAGCACCAGACATGAAAACCGCCTGTATTTCATCCTCTCGTTTTTCAAAGCCTAGAAATGTGATTTCCACATGAGCCAAGTTCAGAGGGACAAAAGCTCTGTCACTGTGTTGCCTGGGTGTTTCTTCAACTCAAAAGTTTGTCTATCAAATGTGATCGCTAAAAATCCTAGTGACAGCACTGCTCCTGTGTATGTGAAACACTTTATCGCAGGTTCTCGGCTTTTCTCCAAGAACTCTGCAAAATGTTTTAAGATTTGAAAAGTACCTTTTTGGTAAGAAATCATTTTTTAAAAACTAAGACGTGAATTACACTCAAACATTTAGTGTTTTAGGCTGTATTTTGGAATGAAGGTTTTAGCTCTGTAAAGGTGCTAGGGATTTGAAACCTTTAATTATTTAAAATTCCACAAAGTAGCTAATTTTTTTTAAGCTTTACAATTTATAATTTATTGAAATTCTGAGAGGGAGAGGCATGCATGGTTCAGCCCAGTGTCTAATATGCAGAGGAACTATAAATGTTTTTGTAGCAGAAGGGACACTGTTGAATTAATAACAATGAAACCGAAAGATGAAGAACCCAAATTAGAAAGGAATCATGAAATTAAAACTATTAGAACTGATCTATTTTCTGAACAGCTGTTGGTGTTTTTGAAAATATATTTGATCTTTTCTTCCTAATGTACAAACTATCAAACATTTGGAAGTCTAGTTGATATGAAAAATGACTGCTATTGCCTACAGACTCACTTCCCTTCTCAAGTCTTGAACATGAAAAAAATGAATATTGTAGAGATTACTATTAGTTCAATCCCAACTATTGGGAGTTTGTATGAAATTTCTGTTTTAAATTAGTTAATGCGCATTAAATAGCCCAGTGAGGAATTTTGTATGATAAGCTAATTGTCCAAAAATATAATTTTGTAATTTCTATATGTATTCATTAAGACCAGAAGTGAGAACTGTTAAATAACACTCCCATTTTATTATTAAGTTATAAGCAATTGCTTTTCGGCTTCGTTCCCAACTTGCACAACTAATAGAGACCTGGTGACAAGCAAAATAGGACTGGTGACCTTTTATTGCCCGAATTATTTGAATACTATGACATTGGGGATCTTGAAATTGTGGAAAAATGTCCAATTTCTCATGGACAACAAACTTAAAAGGGACAGTAATGAATTCTGTTCAGGAAGAGGGCAGGACTCGAACGGTTGTGGTGGTCTGTTAGAGACCTCCATGACCAGTATTTGTGCTTCTTTTGTGAAGGAATGTAGATCAGCTTTGCAGAGAGAAAAAAATTTCCATCCTTTACTTATTTGCATTAAAATACTTTAAAATCCGAAATGTAAAGATTTTATAGGTATTTTTATAAAAAACCAAAAAGGAGCTGAGCTAATGGAGGATCTTCCATTGTGATGTGTTAACTTGTGTGAACAAACTTATTTATTCCCTAAAAATGTCACTTTACTTGGCTTAGGATTAGCAGCTGAATTGATATTTCAGGTTGGTTAGGGAGGATCAGTTAGTCAAGTTAATACTTTTGTTCTTCAGTCCTCTGAAGTTTCTCTGCATAAACAACCTGGACCAAGCAATATGCAGCTGTACTGCCTTTAAAAATTAATTTATTTTGGTTCCCTTTTCAGTTTTTTGGCAAAAATTGAAATCCATTCAAAGGCACTAGAAATCTGTAAATAAGTTCAATCTCACTCCATTATGATTTTTTTTGCCTGTTTGTACATAGAAAAAAATGAAAGTTGGTATTTATTGCAAAACTGTTAAGATAATGTTATGTATTGAATTGATTTTTCTGTACATCTCCCATTTGCCTTTGATATGTAAATAATATATATTCAGACTTCAGTAATTTTGCAGAATGGTACGATGATTTTTAAGAAAACACATTTAGCTTAATCTGTAAAATATGATAATGGAATTATGTGCTATTCATTTCATCCAAGCTGTATGAAGCCATTTACATCATACTTTTAAATAATAAAATTATATATGCAAGAAATGTGTGTATTTTGAGATTCTTTCTTCAGCTTTCTTCCCTGTTTCTGAAAATGCTGCTCTGTGCCAGAGAATATTTTCATGCATACCAGCCATGCTGTAGTACCTCACCCAAGTGAAGCCTATCCAACGACGTCAGTCCTCATGTGAATCCTTTAGTTCAGTAGACCGCTGAAATTCCTTGTGGGAAGAGGGAAGTTATATCCTAATCTGATTGTGCCATTGCCATGTTTCCATACAAACCAGTGTGCGTATTCATTTCCCCACAGGATGTATTAGTTAGTGGTTAGGAGCAGAAAGCATGGCTGCTTTTCTTTTAACACTTTCTTTTTCTAGGCCAGGATTGACCAGAATTACTTCAAACTGTTATTCAAATAGTGGTCAAGGATCTGTTATGACCCTCTGAAAGGAAGAATGAGACCTTGGTTTGAGGGATAGCACTAATACCTGTGAGCCAGAATGTTCTAGGTCCAAAACAGCTCCTTCAAATTCTGCACTTTGGCTCTGAATTTGAGGTTGAAATGTTTACAGCTTGTGGATGAGTATATACTCTTTATCCCTCTCCTCTTCTCTTCCCCAATCCCCATCCTGAGTGTTGTTACTACTGAATGTAGTTACAGCCATCTTCCATTGGAAACGTGTGAAGATACAAAAACAACCAGGGCAGATAGGTAATGCAAAGACAAATAAGCAAATCAAACTTTTTGAAGATTGTAGAGGGAACAATGAGGAAGCTTTCTGGTGGGGGTTGGGGGGGGAAACTCAGTTGTAAAATGTAAACACTAAAATTCTTTCATTGGTATGCAAGCAACCTGTGTATTATTGCATTCACAACCTCAGGTTTACCTGAAGTACTTGACCGACAATAAATAGCATCTGAAACAGTCACAGTTCTAAGGAAATGCTGAGCCAATTCAAATGTTGCTAAGTCCTGCAAACACTGCTGTTTTGAGTGATAAATATTAGTCACGTTTCTGGGGAGAAAGTCTCCCACAATCCTCTCTGAAATAGTGGGATCTTGTGCATTCAAATGAGAGTGAAGAGTCTTGATTTAACTCTTCATTTGACAGCTGGCATTTCACTAGCAAAGAAGCAGCCATGTCACTGATCTTAATATCCTGAAGAAGCTATATGGACTAACAATCACCACATATCAGAGACCAGCAATCAGGAAGTTGAATCATCGCTTTTTAATGGTCCTTGTACACAAAGTACATATTTTCAAGAAAGTTGGAGAGCATCAGATACGTTGACCCAGAAAAGGTAAATTATAGAATTAATTTCTGGGAACAAATTGTAAGTTACATAACAATGTTAAGAAAGAATCATTAAAAAAAACAACCTGCAACAATGTTAACTGCAAAGGCTTAAAGAATATGGTCCTCACATTTGGCTGCCTCCTGATATTTGTAATGACCTCTGCCTACTCCACAAAGATCCTCATCCACAAACTGTACGTCAGTGAAATCAGAGGTCATACAGGGCTGTTCCATTGCATCAACTCCCCTCTTTGTTTTCCTTGCTGCAATACTTCACCTCGCCTCCAGCAAATTACTCATTGACATGGGAAATGATTTACGAAACAGATGGGAAATTGTTCAGCCTACACATGCAGGTGTCACTTGTCTGTATGCATTCAGTCAAAAACGCTGAGCTCCAAGTCTTTGTCAACTCTGAAGCAGATGTGAAAATGCCCTTCCATTAAACGTGTAGAAAGTTATGGTCCTCCTCCAACCATGAAAGAAAAATAAGAAAAACTCCAGTGCTACAATATGCGTTTGTCACTGATGGCTTCTAAATCCTAAGCTAAACCTCAATGGCCCATCAACAATAAATAATGCCTTAGATTGAGGCATGACTTGGTTAATCCCAATGTCAACTCTGAAAAGTTATCCTTACCAACAGCTAGAGACTGGTGCCCATTTGAAGCTTCTCAATTGGATTCTGTGAATCTTCTTTGATTTTTGTTTCTCCATTTGTCCTCGCCCAGCAGTAGACTCTTTGGCTCAACTTTAATTTTTCCAATCGTTGAAACTGGATTTAACAGAGTAAATGAAATCATTTGGGATCCATTTGTTGTTCAGCTGGATGAGCCTATCCTCATCTAGTTCCACTTTCCTATCTCAGAGCACCAGAGAATCACTCAAAAGGCATTCTCTTTCTGTTCCTGCACATATCTTGGCCAACTTTTGTTTTCCACAGCAATTTCCAAAAGCATGGTGTAAATTTTCATATGCATGCTGACGACACCCAAATCTTGCCTGACCACCACTTATCTTGACTCGTCTACCTTTGCTAAATTGTCAGGCTACTTATCTAGTACTAATATTTAGACAATCAGAAATATTCTCCAGTTCAATATCAGAAAGACAGAGCCATCATTTTTTGCTCTCCTATCCAAACTCCACCCTCAATGATCACTTTCGTTCAGCTTATCAGCAAGAGTCTAAGGTGAACCCATTCTGTTCACAGCTTTGGTCACAATAGATCCCAAGATAAGCTCATCTAACCTCAGATTCATGCATCTGTATGACTGCCTATTTCCAACTCTGTAACAACATTTGATTGTTTATTATCTCAGGATTTGATGATTCCAACACATTTCTGGCTGTTGTCCCACATACTGGGCTCCGTAAATTTTAGTTCATCCAAAACACCATCTTAATTCTCAGGAGGTCTCACGCCAACAACCGCCTCCCCCCCGCCCCCCCAACCCAGTTACCCAACTGCCTGCTGTCCTATATTGTCTCTCAGTCAGACAACAAATCAACACTAATTTGTTGTCCTTGTTTTCAAATCCCTCCTTAGACTAACTCCTCCCTATCGCTGTAATTTTTTCCAACCCTATAGCCATCTGAGGTATTCGTGCTCACCTAATTCTGGTTTCATGTCCATTTCCAGTTGTAGTTCTCCAGGAGACCAGGAGACAGCCCCTGTTTTGACCCGTCGGAGGTGAAGTGTGAAAGCACAGGAAAACAGGTAGGTGATCAGTGGGTGATTTCTTCCCTGACTTTTTTGATTAACCAAGTGGTTTAAATCAGGAGACGTTATTACAGCTGAAGGGCAAAGTTAGGAAATTCAGGTTTAAAATGTTTAATATGTACTTAAATAGGATAGAAATGGTTGGTTAGGTGATGAGTGTAGCTGTAGCATATGGGAACTGGTGGATGCTGGTGCGATCCACAGTGACAACAACTGCAGTAATTGTTGGATCCTCAAGAAACCTTGGAAACAAGGTGATGAGCTAACATTTGAGCTGCGAACATTGAAACATATCAGGGAGGGGATGAGTTAACTGGTCACAGTTACAGGAGGCAGTCACTTCCCTTAGATTAATTATGTCAAATTTGTGGTCAGGCACTGGAGGGTGTGACTGAATGAGGCAGATATTGGAGACTAGAACTGAGTCTCAAGCCATTGCCGTTGTCCACAGGTATAAAATTTTCTTGTTCCCAATGTGGGCAAGGGCACAGACTGCAGGGAAGACCAAAGAGCCTAGGAACAGAGCACCACCGAACTGGGGCAAGTAAACAGAAATGCTGTATTAATCTGGGACAACCTAGTTAGGGGAATAGATACTATTCTCTGCAGCAAAGACCAAGGGTCCTAACAGCTGTGTTGTCTGCTTTGTGTAGGTTCAGGATATCTCTTTTTGGCTGGATAAGAATTTGGAGTAGGTAGGGGAGGATGCAGTTGTCATTGTTCACATAGACACACTGACACAGGTATGATCAGGATTAGGATAAAGGTTCTGCTGAGGGATTGCAAACAGTTTGGGGCTAAACTGAAAAGCAGAACGACTAAACTAATAATTTGAGGATTACGACCTGAGCCATATGCAAATTGTTAGAGGGAAAATAAGGTTAGAGAGATAAATACATGGTTCAAACGTTGGTGTGGGAGAAATGTGTACATATTCATTGGGCATTAGCACCAGTACTTGGGAAAGAAAGAGCTGTTCTGTTGAGATGCGCTTTATGTGGACAAGTGACCCAGTGAATTGTATAACTAGGGTTGGAGATAGAGTTTTAAGCTAATTAGCGGCCGGGAGAGGGTTCAATTGAAGTCTTAAAGAGAAAAACGAGTGAGCAGAGATGCAGGATAGTGAAGAAGTGAATCATCATCATAGTGAGACAGGTATGGACAGAAAATGTAAGCAGGTACAGCAGAAATTAGAATCAGAATAAGTGGTATGGTAAAATGTCGAAGCTGAAGGCCCTTTATCTGAATGCATGCAGCATTTATAACAATATCATGAGTTGACGGTACAATTAGAAATAGATGCATATGATTTGATAACTATTATGGAGAAATGGTTATAGAGTGACCAGGACTGGGAATATTTGAGGGCATTCAATGTTTGCCATGTACAGTGACACCAAAGGAGTGGTTTCAGTTCCTGCACCAGCTGAGGTTACCATGAAGGACTCTTAGGTTAAACCACCACTAGTGCTCTCTCTAATGAAAGAGCAGTCTTATAGTAGAATTAGAATATCTTTTATTGTCACGTGTACTCCAGTACAGGCGTACAGGAGTAGAGTGAAAAGTTTACAAGGTTGCCTTGTATCATGCCATCTTAGGTATAAAGTACCTAGGTGCAAATATTAGATACAAAAAGAGGAATAAAAAAAAAGTAGTTGCATTACTTTACAGTGATTCGCAGAATAAGTTAGAAATATGACATAGTTAAAAGGATAGACATTACAGTCGGATAAACAATACAAATAAACATTACATTGCAATAACTCCGTGCAGGGGCTTCCACACGTAATCTGTCTGCTCCAAGCCTCCAGCCCACTCTCAGCTGCTCCAAGGTAAGTTTTCTCTGGGACTCTGCTTCCTCGCAGGCACCGTTCCAGGACTCACTTGCCTGCAATGGCCTCTACTCCGGCACTCATTCTAATTCTAACTCTGAGACTTTGATGACTTTACATTTATCAGATAAGGAAGGTGTTAATTAGAGGTAAGATTTCACGCTGTCTCTTTCACAAGAGACAAAGCATT